TTTTACTGTGATTTTTAAGGTGGGTGGGAAAGAGGAGTACGACACACCTGGGCAAGGGAACAACCACCAACCGGGATCAATTGACAGGGCTTACAGAGACGAATGTAAGATTATTATTATTATTTTTATTTGTTCTTTGTTTTAATTTTTTTTTATAATTTAATTCCTAATTATTATTTTTTTGCATATTTTTTTTTCAGTTCGAATGGCTACCCTATCAGTGGCACCTGCAAGCGAATGTTCTCCCGGCCCAGTGTACAGAAGGTTCACACCTCTGAATGTATAGGGGGTGAATCTTCAACTGGAACGTCCGTGAACTTCACCTGCCTGATAGGGTCCTCCATCAGTTCGGGTGCCGGCAGTCCACTCCGAGCCTCCTATCATTACGACTGAGACCGAATATCGGTTACACCATCGAGGCCAGGGGATGACTAGGAGGCCAGTTTTTGATTGGGTCACCTTTCGAACATAGAGACGAAAATGTTGTCTCAGCCCTCGCAGTGGAGCCATTCATTGAGCCTGAGCCGGGTTACCTTGATTGGTTTCACAGTATCACTGTGAGACTACTCAGTGACCCTGCCAAGTACGCGGTGGCCCAACCGGACAGAGGCTTTCACCCACTTGCCGAGCAGGGGAAGTGCGATGTAAGTAATATATATTTGTGTTTTTTTTTTTTTTTTTTATTATTATTTTTTTTTGTTTTTGTTTCATTATAATTGACTTTGAATTTAATTTTCAGGCTACCGCCATGGAGGGTGCTTTTCACACGTTATCTAACGTGGACCACCTACATCATACACTCCATCCAGGTGTGTTGGCAGCATTCCAACAGGCCAAGAGCCTTCTATACAATTCTCTGGCTGTCAGAGGCAGAGACGTCGCACAAGGGACGTCGTCGAGCCAAGTTCTCTCGCAGGAGAGCTACGTCCGATCCCAGAGGACGTAGTCACACCGGGCGAGGCATCGACCTGCTCCCAACATTGGTGGAGGTAGAAGACGACGCGACCGCCAATCCGCTGCCGACACCGTGCCTCAGGAAGAAGAAGAAGAAGAAGTTGAAAATTTTTAACTTAACACAAAATAATTTTATTGATTGTATTTATTTATTTATTGTGATTTTTAAAAAAATGATTTACTCAGGTGAAGAAGAACAAGAAAAAGAAGAAGAAGAAGAACCTGTCACGCCCACAACATTGTCTTCTTCACGACAACCACAACGTCGGATCAGCCACTGACAGCGCAATCCTACGAGTCGATACACTCCTAATTTGTATTCAGGGAATTTTGTGAACATATTTGTTTTTTTTTCATTCTGTATACTGATGTGTTTTGATTAAATTATTGTGGTTGACTTTTGGTATATAGTGTATGTTGGATTATTTTGGGAGAATTGATTCATATTAGTTGGTTGAACAGGTTCTGACTTATTAAACAGGTTGTGAAATGGATCCAAAAAAATATTTTGCATTTTTCTGCAGTGAATACGTTTTTCGTAGAATTACAGCAAAATGAATATTTGGGGGAAAAAAACGTATTTATAAAATACGTTTTATATTTCAAAATTTATCTTACACAGAAAATTTATTTTTAATGATTTTAATATTAATTTTATTTAAAAAACGTATTTTACGAATACGTTTTATAATTAAAAAAAAAATTGTGAAATTAGTTTTAATTATAAACCGAATTGCAATAATACGTTTTTAATCAAAAACGTATTTCTTCTATACGTTTTTACTTAATTTAATTAATTTAATGACATTAATTATGTTAATTAATTATTTATTAAGTAAACCGTATTGTTAAAATACGTTTTACTATAAAAAAACGTATTTTTTGAATCCGTTTTTCATTGTAAAACCGATTTATGGAATACGTCATTTTTTTTTTCCACCCCTTTTTCTTTTTTTTTTTGTCTATTTTTTTTTTATTATTTTTAAATAAATAAAAAATTCCTAGAAGGTCCATTCTTATTATTCTTAACCTTATTTCCCTACTTCATTTCTCGTACTCATTTTTCTTACTATTTTTCATTTCTTTTCAATTTGACAAATTTCTCTCTCCTTTCTACTTTTTCTTTTCCCTTTCTCTGATTAACATTTGTAGATCGGACATTGTAGGCTTTCGCACTCTCGATTATAAATCTGGATGGCGGACTAATTGAGGAGACAACATAATAAAGAAAGCACGAAGGAGAAGAACCCCGTGGAAAGATTTGTTACCGAGCCCATAAATCCGTCGATGAAGCGGTTTGTGTCTGGCGTCTGTCAATCGTCTACATGTAGATATGCTTCTCCCAGACTAATTGTTCTCCTTTTTTTTTTTTCTCTGAGTTCATAGTTACGAGTTTGGATGTTGAACTATATCGATGTTGTGATTTCAATTTGTATAGTGTGGGAGATTCAAAATTTGTATTAACTAAGATATTGTAACGCAAAAACAACAAATACGAGTTGGGCAGGTAGGCCCACCCTAACACAGGCCAAGTCTCGAGCATATCCTAATGGACCCGTAATGGGGCACGGGCCTAAGATTAGAGACTAGGTCCAAGTTTTGAATTAGCCAGTCCACCTTACCCCATTGTCATCCCCAAATACTAGTAGTTACTAGTTAGGGGAAATTTATGTACATGTTCCCTTATGTATGTATATTTTGTATATACGTTCATTGCAAAGTTTAACTAAAATAGGATTCTATTGTGATTTTAATTACATAATTACGAGATTTTAATTAAAATCAATATGATAAGTTACTCTCTTTCCATATCTCATTCATGGGAAGATGGCCCGCGATCAACGCAAAAAATAAAAAATAAAAAAAGAAAAAAAAAACGTGCAGATGAATTTGATAATTTACTCTCTTTCCATATCTTAGTAACAACGAATTCAGTTTTCGAAAGATAATACAGAACAACGATCTCTTCAATCTAAAACAAAAAAAAACAAACAGGTAGGGAAAAAAAAGAAACGATCGGGTCGTTTAATTTGTGAATTTGATCGAGAATTATACGCTGAGACGAAAATTCGAAGGTATATTCATGTTTATGTTTATTTTTTGGAGCTCAATTACGAAATTTGTGTGATTTTGTTTTTGTTTTTTTTTTTTTTTTTTTTTTTTTTTTTTTGTTTACTTTTGATTTCATTGTGTTGCATCGAGTCGTAAACTCTTTATGACTTGAAGGTATATTATTTGTGTTTATGAACATTAATGACTGGTTTTTTTTTTCGACTTCATTGTGCTTTTGAACCAGAATCAACATTGATTTCATGCGTCTTGATTAGTTTTTCAAATCTCATCTTTTTGTATATCTAAATGTAATATATACAGTAAGTAAACACAATGATATTCCTGTAATCTGGATTATTTACTTAGTAATTCTGTTTATTTTACAGGAAACATGACTGATGTGAATGTTTTTTTTACATCACAATAAGGTGTGGATCAACAATGAATACGTGAACTATCAAGTCGGAAGTATCTTGATTAGTAAATTATGTGACTACAATCAGTTCCGAGATATTGTTTTTTATAAACTGAAAATAAACGCGTATTGAAATGATCTTGATATAAAGTATCAAGTGAATTATGGATATCCACCTATGAGTGTGGATGACGATAGCTTGCATTTATATATTTTATTGAAGTTGAAGGAGTGTGATTATGCGAAGTTGCCCTTGTGTGTGGTTGTAAAACAAGTAATAAATGCCACCTCACTCGTTCGAAGAATAATGCCAATGTCTTTGACTGCGTCTGTGTGTGATTTAGTAACAGTAAGTTGTCTAGAAACGACACGGGATGATTCTGAAATTGATGGTTTCTACAGAGTATTCGTCGAACATGTTGCAGATACAATGCTGAAAACAGGAAAATATATGGAAGATAAACAAGAGATAAACAACTCTAGAACATTTGAAGTTGTGGTCGAAGGAGAGTGAAACAAACTTAGTTCCACGTGGTTGCTTGTAGTATAAATTGTGTTATGTTTTAAATTTAAGTTTTAATAATATGCACAGCATGTTGACGCTTCCTTTATATTTGTTTACTTGTTTATTTTTAGTATAATTGTACAATTGTATTTAATTAAAAAAAATTGATGTAATTCAAACGTATCTAAATTGTACATATAAGATAATTTTAAATCTACGCTTTGGTAAATTGTATGGGTTATACGTATAAATAAACATTAAGTAAACACATGGAATAATAACTAACACTTAGTATGAGCAGATATTTACAATACAAAAGTTTACTACACGTTGTAATAAACAATAGGTAAACAAATCAATATTAAAGCGCAATATAATGAATGCGTAAGATTCAAATAAGAGAATCGGATTACACAACGATTCAAACATTGCATTTTGATAGATTAACCTCGTGTACTTAAAAATCCAGAATAAGAGCATGAATATTCATACATGGTATTTCCACTAAAAAAACAAACAATTCAACAAAACATGCCAATAGTAAACATCTTTTTTTTTTTAACTCACAAGAATTTCGGACTCATCAAATATAATTTACCTTACTTAACGGTTAATTAGCAGAAAGTTAACATATTAATAGTAAACAAAGTTTACTATGAAAAGACAAAGTTATGAAATAACATATTAATAGTAAACAAAGTTAACATATTAATAGTAAACAAAGTTAACATATTAATAGTAAGCATCTTTGCGGAAGAGGCATGAAAGACAAAGTTTAGTAGATATCTTGAACATTATGCTATGAAATAACAGACATGTATACTAAAAATAAACATTAGATAAGCATGTGCATAATCAAACAAGTTTTAGAATATCAAGTTGGTCAATTTGCTATAAAACAACAGATGTATATACTAAAAATAAACATTAGATAAACATGTGGTTCTTCATACAACAACAATGTATACTAAAAATAAACATTACATAAGCATGTGCATATTCAGACAAGTTTTAAAATATACAGTTGGTAAACATTAGAATATACTCTCTCAAATAGTAAGCATCATTTTTACACTCATTTTCAACATTACATTTAATATCTCAACCTTCAATTCTGGAAAGGAAATAGAAATGAAAAAAGAAAAATGGCATTGGTAAACAGATCTTTCAAACTCATCTACTTTCTCCTTATAATCCTCACTCTTGAGACTCCTATTGCCACTGGCCTGTGCATCAAACCCCTCCACAAAGACTCCATTCAATCCCCATTTTACATCTGAAACCGAACCCAAACCCCGAACCGAAAGACTCAAACTCCTCCTTCAGACATCATCATCATCAAACATCGAACCAAGATTTTCTTAAGCCATAAGAGATCACAAAACAAAACCTCGACCTCGATTTTCCCGATACTCGACAATCAGGATCTAATGTACATGGTCCAGGTCAACATCGTCCGTGTAATCTAAGAAAATTGAGTTAGTGGAAAGTTGATCGTGAAAATATGTTCAGATATACTGTATATATACATAAGATAAACAACATGTAAAATGCATGTAAATTATCCGTATAGTTATACATAAGATAAACAACATATAAACAACACAAACGAGATAAGAGATAAAACATAACATACAATTCAATCTCATAAACTTCCCCCATTTGAAAATCTCTATTGTGAAAACCATTAGTCACCTTCAAATAAACCAATAACCATAACAATCAATCTCGAAAACCAAATTCAATATACATACAATTCAAAACAATTATTAGCATAAACTTCCCCAATTTGAAAATCTCTATTGTAAAAACCATTAGTCACCTTCAAATCAACCAGCAACCAACCAAATTCAATCTCAAAACCAAATTCCAATAAAAATCAATCTCAAAAACCAAAAATAAAAAATAACTCAAAAATTTAAAATCGGAATTACAAATCTCAATAAATTTTCAAAATAGAGATAAAGAGATAGAGAGAGCGAATCAGAATTTACTTGGCTTCTCCCGCCGCTCGTCGGTCGTCTTCATTCTTTCCGGATTTGGCTTTGAATTTTCTTCACTCGGCCATTGCGAGATCTCAGGCACATGCTTCACTCGGCCATTGAAGTTTTCAGACAGAGAGTAGCTTTTTGTGTGAGGGAAGATGGCTACTTTGGCTATTGCGTGTGGAAGGAAGGAGAATATCTCTCCCTGATATTCATTGAATCATTAATGTGTGTAGTGGGTAGTTTAAAAGCTACTAAAAATAAACCATTACCTTAATTAATTAAATATTTCATAATTATGATAAAAAGTTTACCGATTCGTATTATTAACATTATTTAGCAAATGAAGAGTAAAGGGGGTAAATTTCTCTACTAGTTAGTGGCTGCATTTTCACTTCTCACAAGAATAAACAAATTTGGGAAGCTTTATTCTAAGCGACTAATCTATGCAGAATGCAAACCTCATAGTTCAAGGTCCAGATGAAGGTGCAGCTCGAGCACCTAGTTTCAAGTAGATGCTGAAGGAAAAATTATTAATAAATCATAAAAGACCAAAAAAAAAAGAAGAAAAATTACGGATTATACTAAATTCTTGCTTTCTTTTTTCTTCTCCCCATCCTCTGATAGACAATAAAAAATTAAATCATTCGTTTGAACAATATCCATCCCTATTTGGGAAGACGACACGAAAACTGTCAGAGACCCAGACTTTGCAGAGGAGCAATGTCTTCCAGCAGATCTTGATTAAAGAACCCTATCTATTCTCTTTACTCAAATCTTTTTAGACTCGAAAAAGGAAAAAATAAAAGCTAAGGACCCATCAAGGGTGACAAATGGTCATCACCGGAAGTAATCGATCATCAGAATTGATCCTCAGTTATTCCTAACCAGCAAAAGGGCAAAAACCTATCAATCTTTTTATATTTACTTGGCTCCCAGCAAACATATGTTGACCAAGAAAACGCAGAACAGACTTCTCACATCAAAACAAGAAACTCGGCACATTTGGGAAATCAAGATTCCAGCTTAGCATCAGCAATTTCATCAGTAACCTTAATTTGTGAATCCAATGGCAGCATAAACTTTAGTTGCACACCTTGCAGTATTTTGAGGGATGGTTTTGAATTGATGTACTGCAAAAAAAAAAAACAACAAACAATCATTCTCAGAAAATTTTACAAGGGTCGCAATTGCAACAAATAATGTGAAAGAAAAGGAAAAATATATATATATATTTAAAGCAATAAAAAAGCTTACACTATTACACATTCACACTCATACCACTATGACAGGTTTGCACATTAGTTCACATGGATTAAGATAATCAAACTTAAGTCAAAAAAAAAAAAAAAGTACCTTGGTTAAATCCCTATAGAAAGAGCTTATTTCCTCATCAGTAAGACCACCCTCCTCATCATTTTCCTCCCATCCCAAAGAGCGTAGAAAGGCAGCCTCTTCCTCCTCCGATATAATCGGATCACAGCTCCTGTACTTTTTCCCATCAACATTACACATCTCGACTTTTTCCTCTACAAACTCAGCATTCTTATCCGAAAAGGTTGGCGACAAAACAGCACCGGGGCCCACAGGAGATGATGACGAGTTCTCCATGACAGCTGAGTCAACAGCAGGGGAAGAAGGGCTCTCCATGGACTTCTTCCTCATGAGATTGAAAAAGTCATTGCGGCTTTGGGCCTGGGAAGTGGGCCGCTTCTCCAGCACAGTCGATACGGGCTTACGGTCCGAGGCCCGATTTGTTGGGCTCAGGTTGTCCTTCAAGACAGGGGTTATGATGCTATTCTTATCTCTTGCAGGCTTGAGCACATGGAGCTTACTCACGGTGGGTGGTGCCTTCGGGACATCACCCTTCACGGGCTGCTGTGGGCCCACTTTACTTTTCTGTTTATCTGAAGAATTCGACACCTGGAGCAAATTTCGGGGGGAAATCATTAAATATTAGTGCCAACACTTGTGAAGTAATCCAACGAGAGATTGTTATCAAACCATACAACAATAAGACCACTATTCTCACACAATTAATTAGTATTATCACGTAGCAGACCTTCACAAGTGGAAAGCATGTCGGCGTTGTTGCTATAGCTTTACAAGGGACCATTTTGTAATTTTTCTTAAGGCAATTTCTAGATGACAACTAATGGCAATAATTAAAGGAACGTGTAATTATAAGAATTTGAAGATATTAGATTAACCTTTCTTCATTTCTCCACGCGGACATAGTCATCAATTTCAAAATTATAAAAGCATGAAACTTACAGACTTCCATAAATTAACATAAAGAGAAACCTACGGGTAAGGTATGTCCAACTTTCACTGAAAAGTCCATCGATATGGCCTCTGATAGAATAACGACACAAAAGAAGAGCATTTTTATAGATCAACTGAACTAGACATAAAGTTCACGCCAGTAGCACCAGAACACAAAACTTTTTTCTTTATACACTAACATAGCAAATGCATGAAACATAGAGAACTAGCTGATGATTAGGAACCTACGTATTTGTGCTAATAATAGTCAAAATACAAGGCTGCCTACTAGTTGAGGTGTATAATGTCCAAATTCCAATGGCTTGAAATTTTCTGAAATCACTAACAATTTTGCAAGCTAGATATTCATGTTCATTCTTCTTATATGACTTAAAATCAAATTGTCAGAAAGATCCATGCAATGGAGTCATTATAAGAAAGCTGAATCAAACTTTTAAGGAAAAGACCAATTGTACAGACAAATATGCGAATATCAAATGCAAATAAAAATGTCTTCACAAACTCGGGATCCAGAAGGAGCAAAGCAGTGGTGCAAGTTTATCTCCTGGCATTATTTGAATCCTTATACATACTTCTCAAGCATATCAAATTTATCATCCACTATCACTATACAAATTTATGCATAATCCCTTAACCAAGTCAATTTTAAAAACTGTAATCTATACCCTACAGGGCGAAGCACACATAATAAAAGATAAAGGACATGGAAATCATGTCTTTCCATCTTTGGCAGATTTCTGTCTAGAAGGATTAAAATTATAGGATTAGGAAAATGAAAATTGGAACATGCAGGATTGCTTTAGAAGGAGAAGTTATTGCACACAAGAAAACCTGTTCAAGATAAGAAAAGGCTGTACAAACCAATCTAAAGACATAACATAGTTAGAAGGCACAAATGAAATCACCTAGTTGTACAGGTCAAAACTTGCAGCAGGCATTTTTAGTCACGAAATGCGAGCCAAATAAGAGTACTAATAACACTTATCATTCTACTTAATGGGTAACAGATAGAAAATGGTGCTGACAATATCCTAGAATTTCCTAAATAAAAGAGGGTACTGGAATAATATGGAACGGGGAGGAAGTAACCATTTAAATGTGTAAATGTAGCTCCAAAATTTATTTCCATNNAATGAAAGAGGAGATTTTGCATTATTCAAGAGCAAAAAGAAATGCACATATTTATTCAAAATGTCTACATCTAGGGAGAAAATAATCATAGAACAGTAAATAAAAGTAAAAGGTTTCCTAAATTTGTTGTAAGAGAAAGCAGATGCTTCAACCAACAGAGGCTATTCTTGGATAATATGTTAAAAGTTACTATTTGTTGAGTTTTCACAATTTATCTACTCTACTTTTGTTAAAATAATAAATAACTTTGATGCCTACATTCTTTACAGTAATTATCGAAGACATGATTGCGCCATTGTTTAACTCCTCTATTAACTACAATAAAGGAATGCCAGGAGTTATAATTTGGTGCCAAGTGCTGTGCATAAAACTGATACAAGTATATATTATAGCAAATCTCATTAACTAATAATACCAAGAACATATCAAGTTTAACTGTAACCTCATCGACTTTTACATTTTAATTGGCCTCACTATTGACTACATATAAGGATAGATGATAACCAAATGTGTTGAGTTCTAGTGGTATTCTTTCCTGTATTTCTTTGTCCAACCCACTTATGACTCATGACTGACTAATTCACAGATACACATCCAATCCCCTTTCTCTTATATCCTACAATAAGATAGCATAATTAATATTTAGAATAAGAATATCCAGCCATTGAGGGCTAGAGGCAGCAAGAGGAAACATCAAAATCCCCTTCCCCTTAAGTGTTCTCATTACATAATCAAGGGACAACAAGAAGCTATCTGTATTTCCTAACCCACCACTAATCACATGAAACATCAGACTAGTATTCAACTATTCATGACAAAACAAAACCACAAAGAAGAATCCTAATAATTATTGAGAACTGATATACAAGAAGAAAACAGAGGCATGATAAGCTAGAACTCGAATATAATATACTCCAAATAGTTGGACTCTCACCAATGTTTTTGGCAGGGATGGTGTCACTGGAATTAATTGCCTGGATTGTTTGATCACTAATTCTTCAAGTCTCTGGGTCCCGACAGATACCTACAATGACACATAACAACAATATAACACCTACAACAACAATAATGTAATTTAACATACTCAATAACAGATCACCACACACCTACACAGCTACACCGCAAAATAATAAAAAGAAAGAGACACAATATACCCGAGTGGTTTGAGCACGACTAGAACCCTGAGCTACAGCTTCGGCCATGTTGAGACTGTTGGTAGAGCTCGATGCCACAGAGGCCGAACTCGAAGTTGCAGGTTGCACAGGCAATGAATTGACTCCGTTGCTACCAACCAACATTGGAACCTCAGCCAAGGCCGATGTCCATTTCTCCCCACCTATCAAAGCTGAGTTGGCAGATAAGCTCTGAATGGCGGCATTCAAACCAGGAGACGGGACTCTACCGACCTCAGGAGTGACTGTCCTCTCCTCTGCACCCAAAGTCGGAAAATCCCTCTCGAAAGCTGCTGCCTTGTTCACCATGCCAACAGGTTTTCCCCTGGTGGCCACACCATTCGTATTCTTTCCAGTGTCATCATTCGAGTCAGCCACGACTCTTTTCGGCCATGTGTCCCCACGTTTCCCTGAAACCATTGACTGCGAACGCCTTAGCCCATCCCTCTCGAACTTACCCACAGATGTGTTCCTAAGAGGGTCTGAAAATTCTCGATACCTATAGTCCCCCTTGGCCAACTTGTCTTGGTCACGATAAACATATGTGTCCTTCTCCCATTCCCTGTCACAATGGTTTCTACTGAAACTACTGTAAGACCTAAAATTACCAGAACTGTTACTGCTAGAACTCCGGTGGAAGAATGAAGAGGTTGTTCTCTCAGAACTAGAAGATCGTCTAACATCGCGGCCATTATTATTCACAAACGACTTGTTCCTCGAAACCCTTGCTGCAGCGTGATCATCTAAAAAGAAATAAAGAAAAAAGAGAACAGAAAATAAGAAAAAAATCCAGGAAAACTACAGAAGTATTTGAACAGGTTATTATCGCACACATCAATAACTACCTGTATGAGATTTAGAGCCACCACCAGTTGAACCAGAGTTTTTCAACCATTCTGGTACTAAGGTAGGTTCACTTCTTTCCATAACTCGTGCCAAACATTATCATACACAAGGAAAAAGGGGAAAGAAACCCAACAAGTCTTTTCCAATTAATGACACACGCGTCAACCGTGACGTGCCAACGGGTACCCCCATAGAATTAACAGCCCCTTTGGACTAATATTAGAATTCAATTTTGTACCTAATTTAGCGTCTAGGATACAGTAACGCCACCTGTATCACGTTGGTACCCAAATTTTGGTGCTTCAAGAAAAAAGTATCGAGGACGCAACAAGAAAATTCCACGCAACTCGTAAAACTTCACCAAGAACAAGCGGATAAATTAAAGAATCTGAACTGTCCTTTACAGATGGCAAGGGTTTCTTCCTCTCTTCACTCGCTGTACAACTACTATATACCTCGTGCAGTCAATCAAGAAATCCTCTATCCCTTAATTGAAAATTCTTAAGTCTGTTAACATTCACTTCCCAAACAAACAGCAGTGCCAAAGGCTGTTACTGCTCCTACAGGACTAAGTGCTCAAGGAAACGACCCAGGAGCACTCTCATATACCAATAACCAATAACCGGCAAAAAGACTCTCCTCTGGCAAAACAGAGCAATTCCTCAAAAACAACCCATCAAATAAATACCCCAAAATATTCAAACCCTACACCCTAAAATCCATCCTGCCAACAGAAAGGAGAATACCATAGAATCCTAGGGTTCGAGAACCCAAGTAATTTAGAAAAAAAAAGTAGCAAAAAATCAGAACCACTGTATATCAATGACTTCAACAATAGACTGAACCCAAATTCTTGGATTGCAATTAACGAAAACGAATACCCTCGATGCTCATATGTACGAAAGAAAAAACAAACCCTAGTCCTTGCTCTCGACGCCGCCTCGAGTGGCGCTGTCGTTTCAGGACTCCGTCAAAATCGTGCGCTGTGCGAATTTTCTAGAAACCACAAACCAATTGTTGAGTGTTCTCAGTATTTGCAGGCTATTCCCGTGTACTGTGTGTCGAGTGATGAGATTTTCTTGTGTGTATGCTCGAGAGGAGGGGAGGTTAGATATAGAAAATCTGTATGTATAACGATATTCTTCTGTATTTTGAGGAAGTTTTGTGTGTGTGTGGGTGTTGTGAAGAAAGTTTGATTTATAGCCCTTTTTATTTATTTTTTGTTTGTAAATTGTAATGCTTTTGGTGTATGGGGGGACGTTAGAGGTACTCAAATTCTAATGGACTATCTAAATCCATGCTAATCTTTATCTGCACCCAACCTATAAATCACGTATTTAGGGCGTGTATATAATTTGTACAGTAAATATCTCATTCAAAACTCAAATTTAACTCAACTCCATTATTTTTAATATTATCAATATAATTAAATAATATTAATCAATTATTATTACACATCACATCTACTTTAATTCAATATTCACCTACTCACATAATTTTAACTAACCATCACTTCCAATTATTTTTTCATATTTTTACATCAAATCAACTTTAATTATTTTAATTTATATATTATTTTAATATATCCACTAACAACTAACCATACAACTTTTTTTCAAACTTAACTATAGTTAAAAAGAAAAACAAATTTTTTGCTAGTTGAATTCATATCCAATCACCCACTTAATACTTAATAATAGTTTTTGGATGCTTTTCAAAATTTAACCCTATGTTCTAAGAGAAATTATATTTTTTCCTTTTTTTCTCTTTCTTTTTTTTCATCTAGTATTAATTCGTTCAAACCTATCTTTTTAAATTTAAAACTAGTACGTAGCCGTATGCACGGGACATAGATATTAAATGAGTTATCTTCCTAGGACTTGTCCGTAAAATAACTCGTGCGATGCACGAGCCATAAATATTAAATGAGTCGTTTCCATAAGGTTGTCCGTTAAGGACTAAAAAATAATAGCGTTGGATCACCTGTTTTCCACTTCTTTTCATTACTGTCATTTTTTTATCGAGACGTTAAACCTGAGTCTGTTAGGGTTTAACCGTAAATTAATTAATATATTATCCTGCTAACACGTTTATAGTAATATAAAATTGATTTCCGTGTATATATATATTCCTTGATATAAGAAAAATAACAATTTTACTTATTCTTGTTCTATAATACTTAACTATTATTTTATTATAAAATTTGGTATAATATAATGTCATTATTACTATTTATAAAAGTTATAGGATTAGTCTTCTTCTTCTTCTTTTTATTTTATGTCATGATAACATTTAATGTACATTAATATTATTTATTAATATAACTAATTTAAATTATGTAAATAAATTTAAAAGAAAACATTGAGTGCAAATATTTTGCAAAATATACACACGTGTTCTTTTAGAATTTAATTATTTTATAAAAATTAAACATCTTTGATTTAGTAAGTACTAAAAATTAAATCCCTTCAATAATCAAGATATTTTTTCAAATATGCATCATAAGGCTTTATAGTTTATTTAACATACTATGCAATGGAAATATATTTTAAAATAATTTCACTATGGAAAGATATCAAAATAAAAAAATGATAAAAAAAATAATCATGGTTATATACAAATAAACCACATGTTCAAATTCTAAAGAATAGTTAATATGTTTCAATTTCATTATCTGGTCATTAGTAAAATTATTTAATATATTTGGTTAGTATCTTCTAAATGGTAAATTATATTAATTTGAAGAATTATTTATTTTTATTTTTCATATATATAATGAAATAAAGTTGAAGAAAAAAATTACTTAACATGTTAAGATTTTCTATAAATTTTAGGATGAAAATTCAATATTTGTAAAATTAGTATCTTTTAAGATTTTCTTAGATTTAAAATATGTTTTCATGTATGTCTTGACAAAAAATAGTCAATATGAATCACGAAAAATTAAATTTATAGTTTATTATAGTGGATATCAATAAAATTATTACAGAAAATGATATATTATTCAAGAAAATAATTTTTTTGATTATATTTCATTTGATCTGATGTAGAATTGTGTATATGACATCAATTAATGCATAGAAGAATAATAAATAATGATTGATAATTAAACATATATGAGTGGATGAGTAAATAGTAAAATTTGAAGATAAGTATATAGTAATGAAAAAGTCATTTCAACTCTTAAATTATAATTGGCAACAGAATATTGCATAAATGGAATTTAACTAAGCACCCAAAAGAGTGGGAGATTAAGGTCGGATTCCCAACCTATATAAAGTCAAGACCCTAAATGGGTTGAAAAGTCACAAGTCTACACAAGTCCAAACAAAAAATGAAAACAAAAGGGAAAAAAGCACAACTGACACGAAAAGTCTGAACTTGGGCTTACATGTGCCAAGGCGAACAGTCTGCACCACAAAATGGGCAAAAAACACAAAAAAATACAAAATAGCTACTAGAATCTAAACAAGGGGTAGCCAAACTGGTCCATCCGCACAAGAGTATGAAGACAAAGAGAGGCGTCGTCCGGGTGAAAAGTAGGAGTGGAGGCACCGAGGCTGGCCAGGTAGTCAGCGAGTCGGTTCCCCTTGTGGAAGATGTGCGAGATCCAGTAGCAAACTGATTGAAATGTGGATCTGATGCGGATGAGTAGTGTTGAATATGCCACAAGCCCTGGTGGCCCGAGGTTAAAAGGTTGGTAACATCGGCAGCATCAAGCTCAATCCAAATGTGAGTAGAGATAGGGGTTGCAATTTGAAGACCGGTCTAAAGCGCTTGAATCTCCGCACCATAGCTCGAGAAGGCCTGAAGAGGGGCGTGGAAACATGAGAGAGATCCGCTGCGATCCCTAATCAAGCCCCCGACGCTGGAGGCTCCAGTGAGTCATTCGAAAGATCCGTCATTGTTCAGATTAACCCAAGGAGAGTCGGGTCTCAACCAAACAACGGCTCTAGGGTGTGGGTGCTGGACATGTGGCAATTGAGATGCTACAAAGCGGTGTAGCGACATGCAGCATGTCCAGTCTCTAGGCCTGTGTCTGCCCAGAGCACTGAGGAGGGGGAGATGTCGATCAACCTGCAAAACAATGTTAGAGCACATAAAAGTCACATCCCTATGTTTTACAATATTCCTCTCTGTCCAGATGAACTACATGATCAGACAAGAAATGAGGAAGCCCACGTGTCTAAAGTTTGTTCGCTGTGGAGAAAAAACTCAGAAGTACAAATAAATTATTTATAGTGGGTAGGGGTATATAAGTATAAGTGACAAAATGCTCACAATCTTCTCGCAATCTCGCTCTCTAAAAACAAGTGGAAAAAAGTCTTAGTCTAAAAATAACCGATCTCGACACAACAGTAATACCGCGAGGGGAAGGAAACACCCCTCGCTTGCAACACAAAGTCCATTGGAATCCGGCGCAAAAGAAGATGCCAAAGGAAGACAGAGATGGTCGGGGTAACAAGGTCGGTCTAAATGGCCCTCCCCAAGCTGAGGTTAGAAAATGCACCCCAAGATGTAAGTCTCCACCTCATGCCGTCCGAACCGTCCTCCGATATGGAAATCTGCTGGATCTGCTCTAATAGATGGTCACTAAAACCTGCTCCAGTACCCAAATCATTCTCTAACCTATCCTTGTCCCACGTCCTATCGGTACACATGTTCTTCACCCATATGGAAGGGGAGTGAGTGACCTGCCTAATGCTCGAAAAGGACCCCTCACCAAACCACCACTCGTCTCAAAAGCTAACATCTCCCTCGTTCAACGTCTAGAAGATGTGCTTCTGGGCCTATCTACCCTTGTGATCCCCCTCCACTGCTACTATCATGATTAGTGGTCTTCACCCTACAAGGATGACATACACCTCTAGGGCAGTACATGCCGCAAAGGAAATAAGCCCAAAGCGACTTTCCCTTCCTGAAGCGCCACCACATCTTATAAAAGAAGGCGGTGAATACGTCTGATACGGCGGATCCCAAGGCCACCCTCATACTTTGTTTGCCACGGAAGCTATCAAAATATTATGCAAATAATTGAATTTTTTTCGTAATCTTCACTCATACACAGATGAGCTTACGTGGGTCATATAATTGTAAAGTCGACAAAATGCAAACACAAGGTAAAAATACTTGTACGACATACCATCTTATATTACAATAATTTTTTAACTTATATCACATAACTACTTAGTAGTTAAATTAATTTTAAGAATAAATCAAATAGTAGAGTAGATCAGCATCGGAATTTTAATTTTTCAATTAATATTAATAGGTAATTTATATTTTATTATAGGATAAATATAATTTTTTATTTATTTTGTATGTATAATATAGATGTCTAATCGAAGCTCGCCAAGATGTAATTAATTAAATATATTATATATATAAAATTAATAATAATAAAATCTTTATTATTAACTTAAAATCTATCTATAATTTAAGTTAGTAAACTTTTTATGATTTTAAAAGAAATAGTGAGGAAAAAAATTTATGCCTTATAAACTACGTCTAAAATAAGAAACTATATTAAAACATAATTAATATTTAAAAAAGATCATAAATATCCAATATATATATGGATATTTCAAGTCTAGTTACTTTTGAATTGAAAGTAAATTAAAAATTATTCAAGGCAAATGCCAAAAATGAAAGTTTGTCACATAAAATCGCGAAGCATGGGAGTCCGCCACTCAAGTTCAACACATTCGAGAAGTATATATAGAGAAGATTTAATAGTGAATTGATTAATTGCTAATTTGAAAACAAAAAAACTGACCTAAAAAATTACATGTGGAATCTACCCATAAAATGTCATGTCATATTATTAAATGCTACGTTTGAAAATGATCTAAAAGAAAAAAAAAAATAAAAAAATCGCATCTCGCTACAGATTCTGCAAAAATAGTGAGTGTTCCTAAGAGAATCTACCACGTGGCATTAACTCATGCCTGAATGCCTATCAGTGCTTACTTGAAGAGATATACTCTTCTCAAGACAATAATTTCTGGGCAATTCAGAATCCAAATGGCGATTCAAACAGTTCTCGCTTCAATTGTTTTCAAATGTTCGAGTACATTATTTTTTTAAAACTTCTCCAATACACGTTCACAAAGCAGAAGTATTGAAGTATTTAGTGCTTGTTTGGGAGCACTTTTGAAAAATCCATTTAAGAAATGGACTAATTAAAAATGGACTTTTCCAAAAGTCTCTCTGTTACT